ATCCTGTGACCAACCTGTGCACAGAAGTACTTTCAACTTCTCAGTTACTTTCAGCTAAGGAACCCAGAGTCTGCAGCAGAGCCTTGTGTTGTTAGTTAGATATTAGCTGACAATATTTTGATTTCTGCACCATTTCTCTTACTACTCAATATCATCTGGTTATTTCAGTTGGAAATGTGATGTTATTAGTGTACTAATTAGGGTTTGAGTCTCTGCTTCAGGTGAATTACTGGCATAAGGAATCAACATTTTGGTGCGTTTTACAAGTTCAGCCCTTTAACATATGCATTCTTCAGAGCACAAGTCTTGTGTCTCAAAGTCAGGTATCTGGAATGTCTGGTTATTCTATTCTCTGATAGCAACTACCTCTTTTGCATTGATAAGTACAGGCAGTACGTCGACCAAAATGAATAGTGGAAGGGAAAAATAAACACAACAAAGAGATGACATATCATCATATGAGCTTTCTAAATACATACAAGGTGCTTTCTGTAATAATTAGTGTCTATGTTACACATTCTTTCATTTATACCCACTAAGACAGGTTCTGCTGAATTTCCTGACAGACAAAACAGAACAACTATGAACTTAGAACTTACTTAAAACTCTGTTGCATTTGAATTGGTAGGTAGCTCATTCAAAACCTGAATATCCAGCAACACAACAAATGCATGAACCCAGTGAGGTGGAGGCAGCATCCAGCTCCTGCCATGTGTTTAGAGAAGGCTTCTCCCCTCAGCAGAGCACACATTGGGGAAACGTTCATCTGTGAACTGAGATGCCAGTTTTAAACTCTCATCTCACAATGATCATCTCTTCTATCTTGTAATGGAAGGTATTAACAACTTGACAGCAGGATGTTGTAAGTGCCTGCATCAACAAAAAACGCTAAGTCAGGCTAGATCTAATGCTTATGATATGGACACACTCATTAAATAAGAATGTCCTAATTCTGCACGTAGACCTCTGCAGAGTATTTGGATCTCGGAGGGCCAACACCACAGATTTCGTGTCCAGTAGTGACCTCTGGTGTTTAAGGTAGTTGTAACAATGATAAACGTTCCTAGCAGAATCGGTTAGTTTGGAACCAGCTGCCTTTTTGCACCCACATATATTGCAAGCTCTTCCTCCGAGGTAAAGGAACAACACGTAGACGTATTATGAGGTTGAACTGTGAGTACCTCACAGATGTGTCCCAGCTTAGTCTTGCAAACGCAGAGGTTGGTCACAGAGCAAATCCTATAGCCTTGCTATTCCAATGCCAGGCTCCTTAACTGGACAGCAGGGAAAGTCTGCTCTGGCTTTGCCTCTCTCCTGACACGGGGCTGTGCACATTCTTGTGGGATAGCCTGTCCCCGGTCTCTCACAGGGGCAGCTGTAGGAAGCCAAAGCAGCTAGAACAACAGGCACGAGACACTAAGCAGTTGGTGGCTCAGCCCACAAACAAAGCTCCCTCCCCACTGCTGCCTTCTGATCAATTGGATCAAAACTATCGAGTAAACCTGGATAAAAATTATTCACCTTCCACATCATTATTGGTTTAAATTAACTGCTGTGAAGTCCAGTTGACTTTCAGAGGGGCTACTGAATACCCATGCAGAAGTTGCAAAACCTCCTACTTGCATTTAAAACTTAATTTTCCTTGCAGACAGTGACTACTGAAAATTATCTTTAGTCCTGGAGCCTTCTCCTTGGTTACTTTGACTTCTGATCCTGCTCAGATCTCTGCTCTCTTCTGCATCCTATCCTTGTCCTTGTTTTTTTTTTTCCCCTTGGTTTAGACTTTTGCTCTTCCAGACACCATGTGGGGGATTCTGCCTGATTCAGATGAACTTGATTTTATGTCTAGTTCCCAGCAGAAAATTGCCTCTGGAATTCCTAGAAAGACCTTAGGCTCTTGCAGTACCTAACACTCTGCTTCTTGAATCGAGGAGGCATTTGCAGACCTCTTGACATGGAACCAACTACTTTTGGTCCCTTCTGCATTCCAGGGAACCATCAGCACAGGTTTGAGGAAGACTGTAACTCTGGAGAGCAAGTACTGTCATAACACATCCTTATTCTGCAAACCAGGAGGGAACATGATTGAGGACTGAAATGGATTTCTGGCACAGCAGAAGCTGACAGTATTACCACTTAACCTCACAAAGAAATATTGCACATACTCTGCACCAGCTGTGTAACACTTCAAATAGCACTGGGTTACAATCACATGAAAACACAGGCATTAAGTAGCTTGGCAGTAAGGAAAAACCAGCCTCGTCTTGCCTCCTTTTCCCTCCCGTTTTGTCTCCTTGGCAAACACCTTCTGTTGAACTGGTTTCTTCAGCCTTCAGTCACCAGTGCAGTGACTCTGGAAAAGTAAAGTAATCCATTCTAATATTTTCTATTTAACTTCTACAGTATTTTCCCGCTACGCGAGTCCATCTGCACCCAGACAGGCATCGCTGCATCACGGGTTTCACATCCATAAGCAGCATTTACTTTGCAAACAGGCACTTCCAACCCGAACTCTGGTTCGGTCACACCGGCTGCACACCTCGCGGGCGGACCCAAACCACGCTAGGAATAACAACCCACGAATCAAACCCCCAAAGCGTTAGGTGAAAGCACAGCGTGTGAAGGAAAACACAAGCACTAAAAGCAAAGCAGCGGCGCAGACCCCGGTCTGCCCGCACCAGGCACCGCTCAGCGCGTACGGAGCTACTTCCGCACCTGTCCGGCCGCGGGCTGGAGGCAGAGGGAGATGCCGCGGTGCCCAGCGCCGGCA